CCTGCCTAAGGCACCTGATTGATGAAATAAAGAGCTGAATGGCCAATAGCTAGGCAGGAGAAAGGATAGGCAGGGCTGATGGAGAGAGACTAATAGGAACAGAAATCTAAGCTCAAGAAGAAAGAGGAAGAAGGAGAAAAGATGGAGAGAATAAGGGATACACTTTGGGCAAAAAACCAGGCAGATGCCAACCAGCCAGACACAGAGACAGCAAGAAAGTGAGAAAAGTAAAAAGCCCCGAGGCAAAATGTACATAAGGAGAAACCAGTTAATTTAAATTAAAAGAGCTAGCCAGAAAGGAACTAAGCTAAGGCCAAGTATCCAAAATTAATTAGAAGTCTCCATGTCATAATTTTGGAGTTAGTGGCCCACAAGAAAAACCCTGGTACAATCTGAATTTTATCAACTGTCCTACTATGTTCCTTTTCTGAGCTAGGATCCCATTTCTGGTCTGGTGATCTTACTGAATAGTTATGATTTTGAGTTTATCTGATCTTTCTTCATTCAGGCTTTGATTTTGGGGCCAGAAATATCTACAAGTGAACCTATGTGTTTTCCAGGAGACCCTCAATATATACAATGGTTAGTGCTTTTCTCTCTTAATTCTGTTGCGGTATAATAATGTTTGTTTTGATATGGGATCTCACGATGGTCTTGACACTCACTATGTAGACCAGGTTGGTCTTAAACTTGGTGGGATATTTCTGCTTTTGTGAGATTTTCTGCTTCTTTCTTTCAGGGATACTCACTCCTCACTTGTAGGCAAGTATGATCCTGTGAGAGGTATTCCAAGACATCTTGTTTTGTTGTTTGTTTTGAGTCAGGGTTTCTCTCTGCAGCCCAGGCTGGCCTTAAACTCACTCTGTAGACCAGGCTGGCCTTGAACTCACAGAGATCTACCTGATTCTATCTTCCAAGTGCTGGGATTAAAGGCATGCTTCAAATCAACTTTTTTTTTAATAACAGTTTTTACATTTGTTATGTTGTTGGGGAGGGGCAAACATGTTGTGGCACCCATTTGGAGGTCAAAGGACAACTTGTGAGTCTGTTTACGTCTTCCACTGTATGGGTGTGGGAGTTCAAACTCAGGTTGTCAGGCTTGTCAGGAAGTGCCTTTACCTATAGAGCCATTTTGCTGGCCTCAGTGCACCTAATGAGAGGGTAAATTTGGACTTGCAGGTTGGGGGTGGTGAATGAAAAAAGAAATAAAAAGGAAAGGAAAGGACATGACTGCTCCTAGGTATGGTGGAGGAGGTTTATTATAGATAAAAGGGAGAGCATAGCTAGAGGTGGGGACATCTGGAGGATTTCAGAGTGGACATGACCAGACTGAGAGGGGCCATGTGGGGAAAGGAGGAGAGGAAGAGAGAGGGGAGAGCAGGAACCATGTATAGCAGCCAGGAGTCCAAAGGCACAAAAGGTAGGTAACCAAAACATCTGGATCACATAGGGAAGAGCCTCTGGGGGAAGGGCAGCCCAGCCTCTGGCCTGGAGAGTTCAGGGTAGAGGGTGGGGTATGTCAGACATATCCTGTAACAGGTAGGGACTGAGGGATGCTGGAAGAACCTGGCAGCCAGGTCCTTTGATATGTTATATAGGCACCTCAGTCATTTGTCCAGGGTTTGAGACTTAACAGGGGAGGTCTCTGTGACCTCCATTGCCAGCCAAGTGACAAAGATAGTTCAGTTCAATACAACTAAGTAGATGGTGTTGGTTCAAACTTCAGGAATCTGATGAAAACTTTTGTGGTGATTGTAGGGTAAAAAGGGCCAAGGAAAAACACCCTGTCTTTGACTTGACCCCAAGACCAAGGATAAGGACTTGAAATCCCACCAATCCCTGAGCACAAAACTCCACCAATCCCTAAGCTTGACCCAGAATCAGGTCACAAAAACCCACCAATCCCAAGCCACCTTGGAAAGCCCCTTGATGGAGGAAGGTCATTGGCTAATAAAGGAACTGCCTTGGCCCATTTTATTGGTTAGAAGATAGGTGGGAGGAGTAAACAGAACAGAATGCTGGGAGGAAGAGGAAGTGAGCTCAGACTCCACAGCTCTCCTCTCGGGAGCAGACGCCTCAGAGAGACGCCATGCTCTGCTCCAGGGCAGACACATGCCATGAAGCTCTGACCCAGGATGGACTAGGCTAGAATCTTCCTGGTAAGACCGGTTCTCACAGATTATTAGAGATGGGTTGGTCGGGATGTGAGAATTAGCCTGTAAGTGCTAGAGCTAAAGGGCCAAGCAGTGTTTAAAAGAATACAGTGTCCGTGTAATTATTTTGGGGCATAAGCTAGCCGAGCAGGCAGCCGGGGTGCTGGGGACGCAGCCCTGCCGCTCTTATTACTACAGCCCCTCCCCCAGAAACCCTATGTAAGCTCTGTATTTTGTCCAGTTTTTTGCTGCTTCTCACTTTTTTCTGAGAAACACAGTAATCTAATAGATGAAATAAATACTTTAATATATGCAGGGCAAAAGTTTGTGATTGGGGATTAAATAATCCATCTATAGCGTAAATTAAAACATAAGGTGCACACTCATAGTAACATTCCCATTTGCAAATCACATAGCAAAGCCATACTCTTATCACACCATGTATACCCTAACTCAATAAAAATGACATACAAAAAGGTAGCTACATCCATGTCTAAGGAGTGAAAACTGAGGTAATCTTTCTTTTAATTAAAAAGTAATGAACCCATGACCTCTTTCCTGACAAATTAGTAATTAAGTTGAGGGACTGGAGTGTGTAGGGATAAACTTGTAGTCAGCAGGCTAGCTACCCATCTTCTGTATCTGAGTCCCTTCAGTGGACTGGTAGATACCCGGGCCCTCTGTGTACATATGGTGTGCATGGCACTGCACTCTGGGAAATTCCTCTTGAGCGTTTAATATGGGAGAGGAGGCTCACCTATGATTTCTTTGGTATAAATGGAGCAGGGGAGAAGGGAGAATAAGTTGTTTTGTTTTGTTTTTAGCCTGGGGTGGAAAACGAGTATGGGGAGTGCGGGGGTGCTAATTCACAGAATTGGAATCCACTAGTGGTAAAATCCTAGGTGAAGACCTTTCCATTAAGCCTGAGATAACATGGTACAGCCTTCAGACATGGCACAGGTCAAGTTCCTCAGCTACCCAGGCCCACACTGCTCATGGAGCCTCCCAGGATGGCAATCTGCACTGCTGTGCCTTCAATGCTAAAGGCTGCTGTGACCCAGGAATTGAGGCTTGGTGACAAAGCTGCAGAGGCAGCCAGCCACCTTCCTTGATTTTTCCTTCCCAATAAATTGTGAGGTTTATTGTGCTGTGTGACAATCTGGCTGGAACAGAGACTTGCTGTAACAGCTTTCTTTCACCAGAGTGGAGCAGGGTAGAGGGTGGAGCAGAACTTTCGCTGGGGAAACTTTCCCCCAGCGGGGCAAACACTTCACTGGACCTACGCAGAGCTATAACACTTCTCTGGAGCAGAGCTGTAACAGCTTTGCTGGGGAAACCCTCTCTTTGCTGGAGCAGTGATTACACTTGCATTGGGACTTCCCTGGAGTGGAGCTCAAGCTGGGCTCACAGTGACTTTGTGTTATTCCTTGGCTCCTGATGCCAGGATCCCTGTCCATCCGAGCTCCAACACTTACAGTGGTAACTCAATCCTGCGTGCGCAATACAGCATACATAAATCTCTCTGAGGAACAAAAGTAAGCATAATAAAGGTTGGAAGTGACTATAGCTAAACTCTTTGTAAAGTACATGTGACACCTTCCATAAAGGTAGGTTCTGTAGATTGAGCAAGAAAAACAAGCTTATAAGGGTCTGGGGGAGGGTCTGGTGTGGTCTCTAGCGCAAAGGTCACCAGGCTAGAATGCTGCACATCTGCTCCCAGCTCTGAGTGGATAACAGACACATCCCCTTCCTTCAAGGAATAACACGGTAGGCTAACATCCCCGGTACCCTTGAGCACAAGAACGTCCGTGCCTCCTACAGCTGGTGGCCTTTCTTAAAGTGGAGTCTTCCAGGCTTTTCCACTGTAAAGCGCTTTACCATTTGCAATTGCTAAGACTTTTGGGGAGAAGCTTTAGAACTGTGTTAAAATACACACAGTCTCCCAAACGGGAGACTCAGTGCTTTTACCATAGCTCGGTGTGGGTGAGACACTGGGTTCCATCTCTAGAACCCAAAGCAACTTGTCACTTTTTAGCCTTGTTTTTAGCACCCATATGATTTTCATGTCCAGCAGCAATTATTCAAATGTTTGCCCCACAGAAGACAGTCTTGCATCACTTTTCCTATATTTATTGATTGGAATGAGAACCTAAAGGTGACCTGTCCTTTTCTCCATTTTTATTTTTTTCGAGGTTCTGGATAGTATTACTGCAATTTAGCCCCAACGTAGTCCCTGGTCAATAGTAGTGGAGTAAAGACTTGACAGGAGGGATTTGAAGTGCTCAGGAACGGACCTGGTTAACTCCATTTTGTTTCTGAGTCCATTTACTTCATTTCCGTCCTAAAGAGTTCCCCTAAGTCTTACATACTGCTCCCTCGGGTGTCAGAAAAGACTTGAAGAACATCTTAGGTTAAGGCTCAAAATCACCCTTTCTTGGTCCTTGGCACTGACACAGCTCTGTAAGACCAAACTACGGTTCACGCCGAACCAAAAGGGTCCCGACCACTCTTAATGGAACCCCCACACTGGTTTCTGTCTCTCTTCCCTTTTGGACACCGAGGATGTTAGGACGCACAACGAACAGATTTTTTTAGTTATGAGACCTTTGTCCTTCCCGGTGTGGTGACGCTGCAAGTAAAACTTTCCTACCCTCAGCACCGCGCATCTGTACGATGACTTTCTGGGATAGGCGGTCCAGTTTAGTCCTGGGGACGGTGCTGAGCGGGAGCTCCGTTGTCATTAGCAAACGCCAAAGTGACTTAAGCTCAGCAGAGGCCGGCTCACAGAAACGCTCCCACCGTTCCCCGCACTCCCGCGCTCCCCGGCTCCCGGCAGCCCCCGCGCACCTCTCTCCCGGCGCTCCCTGCGGCCGCAGTCCTCAGCGCGCCTAGTCCCGCCTGGGCCACGGTCGTTAGCTCCTCAAGGCTGGCGCCTGGTCCCGCCCACGCGTCCGCCATCGCGTCTCGCAATTGGGCCGCGCGCGCCTCGCGCCGCCGATTGGCGGCCTCCTCAGCCCGCTCCCGGCTCCCCCAATGCGCGGCTGCCGTGCGCCGGGATTGGTCGCGCGCCGATAAGGCCCGCCCTCCGCTCGTCCGCGCGGCAGCTGGTCTCAAGAGCCTAGAGCTTGCGAGGGCCTTGGCGGGTTGCGGCGGCGCCGGGGCGGTGAGGGTCGGCCGTCTGTGGTCGGGCTGCGGGCGGCTCGGGCAGGTCGCGGGCGCCACAGGTAGGTGCGGGGCGCGAGGGGCGCCCCGCGAGTAGCGGGCGCTGCGGCCTGGAGAGGCTGCGCCCTTCCCTTCCTCCTCCCCTCCCGGGCGAGGCCGCAGGCCGGGGCTCGGGGCGGGGCGCAGCGCGCGAGGCGGGCTGGGCCACGCGGAGTCGCGGCCTTTGTGCAGCGGCGGCCGGGCCCGGAGCCCAGGCGTCGTGGACGTAGGGTGCTGTCGGCCTGGTAACGAAACCCCTCGGCTGGTGGGCCCGAAGCCATCGCTTCGCCTTGCCTTCTGGCGGGAGACGTGTGGGCAGGGACACCTCTCGTCCTGAACTCTTGCCTGTTTGGGCTGCTTGGAAAAGCCGACAAACCGCCCAAGTCTCTTCCAAATTGCCAGTGGATGAAGTGGTCGTGTAGTTTTTCAGGATGTGGTTTTACAGTAATAATGAGCGTGGTAGAATAAATGGGAAGTGGCAACCTGTTGACAGCGATACCTGTCAAGTAAAATCATGCAGTGGGCTCGGGTTGCTACGTGATAGGAATTTGGTTTGCCATCTTGCATGCTTGCATGTACCCCATTGCCAGATGCAGAGATGTCCTATGTAGGGTTGTTGACTTGTGGCAGCCAATCACTAGGAGGGGCCCACTGTCTCCTGGCTTCAACAGGACTCCCAGTCTTGAAAGTGGCTCAGTCCCCAATGTAAGCCACCACTAACCAAAGGGAGTAAGCAAATGGCTGGTCTAATAAGTGTGGCCTGTAATTTCAAAGAAGAGGATTTGCAGGGTGACAAAGGAATTGATGAGGTCATACTGCCTTTGGATTGGTCAGGAGGCTGCAGCTGTAGCATTGGTCACCACCGCTATATCCATGCCAGTCCATTAAGTAGGAGTTGTCCAGGTGTGTTGGGTAAGCTGCTTGCTCCCAGTCCAGTTGACAAAGCAAGAGCTGCATCCACAGGTTCAATCAGCTGAAGAACAGTGAGGCTGGAGGGCAGGAAGGGCTACCCTTTGAACTCTACATGGCCAGGGGAGCAGGCACTTGACAGTGGTTGTTGCAATTTTACCTTGTAGGAAGGATGATTTTGACTGGTTTGTCCAGCTTTAGCCTTTTGTTGTCATCATTTCGCTCCCATGTGATCGCTTCTAGTTTTCACATCAACTTTCCTTGACATCTTCCAAATCTCCATCTCCAACGCGGATCTCCTTTCTGATCGCTAACCTCCTGCCGCTAGTTGTTCTTTTCACTTTGTCATGGATTGCTTTGACACCAAGTAGTTTGATCCAAGCCAAGCTCTAGTCACAGGCCATGCCAGAACAATCCTTCTGGGCTGTCTAACGTCACCTTGGTGCCTCTCTTAGGCCTTCATGCATTTCTCAGCAAGCCTTGCCACCTGTTTCCAACAACAGACTGTTGTTTCTCAGAAACTGCAACTTAAAGTCCTGGTTCACGCCACCTGATGAGCCTTTTAATTCTTTCCCCTTTTCTAATTTGATTCCCATTATCACCGTCTTAGTACTTTTTCTGGACACAGAGGACCCCCCCCCCCTCGTCCCAGACAGGGTTTCTCTCTGTAACCCTGACTGTCCTGGAACTCCAGACCAGGCTGTCCTTGAACTTACAGAAATCTGCCTGCCTCTGCCTCCCCGAGTGCTGGGATTAAAGGCCTGGTGAAGAATTCTTTAAATTGCAAGATGATGTACAACTGAGGTAATACAGACTCAGGCCTGCTTGTTTGGGTGGCAAAGCAGCTCTACCACTTCCTAGCTCTGTGACCTTGAGCACTTGTTTAACCTTTCTGTCACAGTGCTGGATGTGTTGCCTGAAGTCCTTAGAACAGGGCCTGTGTGAGGGTTGGCTGCCATTTCTACCCATGGATCAGTGATACCTTCTGTGCAGTATCCTGTTTCTCAAGATAAAAAAGATAAAAATTGAAGACGTGCTGGCCTGGCTTGCTTTCACTTCCCTTCACATACTATATTGGCTTGGTCATACCATGTCTTTGTCCCTGGGTCTTTGCTTTTCCCCTAGGTGTCTTCTACAATGGCCTCCTTTTGCCCTTGGTACCCCCTGGCTCTATCTGTTTCATCTTTAAGTGGATACTGGCTGTAGAGCCTGTGTAGTCTTTTAGAAATTGCTTCCTGCTCTCTAGCTCTCCCCCCTTGCTTTGTTTTAGCTAGAATGTTTGTCAGCAGGTGACATCATAGATACTTTTCTTGTATTATCTATCTCCCCCACTGATATGTAAGCTTTGTGAGACAAGTGTTTTGTCTGCCTTGTGCTTAACACATATAAATGATGTGTGCCTTAAGGAAGGCATTTAGCAAATAGTTGGTTAATGAATTGAGTAAGCTTACAGAGGGAAAAGTCAGAAACTTATCTAGGATTGTCCACTGCTGAGCCCAAGAGCTAGACAATTTTCCTGCTCCTGCAAGATGTGTACTTAGCCTTTCCAGGGCCTCAGGGTCCCACCTGTGCTGTATATCTCTTTAAAACTCCCATCCCCCTTAACACTTAACTAATGTCTTCTTCATTTATTGTTTTTATTTTGTAGTTTTACACTGATTCCTTTAGCTTTTAACATGTAGCATACTTGTCTATCTTGTACCGCTTTTTGTCTCCAACCTCTGCCTACTTGAGTCTTCTTCCCATTAGCATATTCTATCTGAGAAAGCACAGATTTGATTTCTCATGGTCTCTGCACACCTACCAGGCTCTGTCCTGGTCTTATTCAAGGTCAAGTGTGCTGACCTGTCTGTCCTCTGCAGTGGTCCTTGGTTGTCAGGAAACTGACTTTGCCCCTTTGGTTTCCCTTCTGGCTCCTTAGTAGTTCCTAAGCTCCTTTCATGGGAACACCTTTAAGAGAGGTAGTTTTTTCAGTTCCCATTGAATTAAAAACTGTTAGGCTATCAGAGGTTGTAAGAAATAAAGTGATAGTAGTTGACCTACCAGCTATGTCCAGGCCATGGGGTCCTTGTGTCTTCTAGTGTTAGCACCTCTCGAGTAGACCGTAAGTGAATATTTAAATGGATTAATTTAACCTAAATAAGCCTCTGGTTATACCTTTACCTTTGGTAAGGCATAACCACCCCGCTTAATCCCTTCACTGTAAGCTGCTTATATAGATGTTGTCTTCTGACTCTTGTCTTCTCTAGGATTTTAAGAATATGAGTTATGTAGATGCAACCAACCTATCACCCATGGGCATGGTTGTGTGTGTATAGCAGTACCTGCACCAGTGTGCATGGCATGTGCATGTTTCTGCATGATGTAGGAGTGTGCATGTGTGTGTGCGCGCGCACGTGCTTGTGCGCTCTTGAGTGTTTGTGTGTCTGTGTGTGCATGTGTTTCTGCCCATAGCCTTTCTGTGGACCTCTGGGTTTTGTGGCTAGCCTCTGACCTGCCTTTTCTGTTGTGTCGTCCCTCTTTTTACACATTCTCTGTAGCAGAGCTTCCTAGGATTATGTCCTTCCCTCTGCTATTTCCCTCTCGTGGTTTTGGTGCTTTACTCCCAGTGTGTGGTTGTCTCCACCAGACCTCTTCAGGGCTCCAGATTTGTGTGGCCTGAGTACTGAGACAGGACTGCCTGCAGCATCCTCTATTCTTCTCTCTAGGCTTCTTCCTAGGTACCAGTGTGTGTCTGCAGAGGCTTAAGCCTTTTTCTTCACCTCCTTTTTTCTCCTTTCCACCCTATAGGGTCTGCAAGCATAGACAATTCCTGTGATACTTTCTTATTGTTTCCAGAGCTGCTTCTACATCTTTGTTTTGGAGAACTGTCCCAACACCTGGTGCAGACACCTATACCTGGTATAGCTGTGAGTCTTCTCTATAAGGAGAGTTGCTTCCCTCTTGGTAGCTCACTATCCTCAGCTTACAGCTAGACTCCCGGTGGCACCCAGGACCCTTTCTGCATTGACTCTAGCTTTCTCCTGTGTTATCCTGCCTATTCCCAATATTAGTAGGCTCCCTTCCCAACAGACTCCCTTCCTCTACTGGGAATGGATCTATGCTGCCACTCCTGGTGACCTCAGCACGCTGCATCACTGTCCTGTCCACGTGCCACGTTGTGGGCCCAGGAGAGGGGGTCCCTGGGTAGCAGAGTGCCTGGCTATATCTCTGAGGTCCCTAGTGCCACAGAGTTGAGCTGAGGGTCTCGCTCACCCTCTGACTGACCCAGCCCTTGAAGGTGAGTGGATTAATAGCGTGATGGAGGCCATGCACTCTGTGTGTGTTCCTGAAATGGTGACCTCCTGCTGCATGCTTGCTTATCCACTAGACTGAGTTATAGGAGTGCTGTAGGAAAGTTTAGCTTTTTATTTTAGTCTTCATCCTTTTTGAGATAGGAGACTATATTTTTGTGTCTCTGAAATAGGGATTAAAGTGAATAATTGGTAAAATACTTAATTTAGGGCTTAAAATTTAAGTTCTAAAGAAAACTAGTGAGGTTTTTTTTCCCCTGATGTCTAAAAGGATTTCTTAAAGGCAATTATCTTGGCCCTTTACTTCATCATAGATAACATTTGACTTTTAACTTGGTACCAGAGAAGTGGAAGGGTTCTGTCATTTTGTGACGATATTTTTAAATTTCTTTGCAGGTGGAAGAAGAAAGGTGCCACTTTGGCATGAAGATAGACTCACTTAGACGTCAATCTTTTAAGCTGAGTGCATTGTGATTTCCAATAATTGAGGCAGTGGTTCTAAAAGCTGTCTACATTAATGAAAAGAGCAATGTGGCCAGCTTGACTAAGCCGCCAGTGTGTGCAACGCGGGCAGGACATCACCGGGTCTCGACGGACTTGTGCATGTTAGCAGTATAGATTTATGTAAGGTGGTTTAAAACTCTGGTGTTTAAAAATAGTCTTAACTGCTCATAATATGGAGACATATGAGAGTCCCTCTCCTCTCCCGCGTGAGCCCGCAGGAGAAGCGATGATGGAGAACCGAGCTTGCCCCTTCCAAGTGCTGCCCCATGAACAGTCTCCACCACCTCCCCTGCAAACGTCCAGTGATGCAGAGGTAATGGACGTTGGCTCTGGTGGTGATGGACAGTCCGAACCTCCTGCCGAGGACCCTTTCAACTTCTACGGAGCTTCTCTTCTCTCCAAAGGATCCTTCTCTAAGGGCCGCCTCCTCATAGACCCGAACTGTAGTGGCCACAGCCCGCGCACTGCCCGGCACGCACCCGCAGTCCGGAAGTTCTCCCCTGACCTTAAGTTGCTTAAGGATGTAAAGATTAGTGTGAGCTTTACTGAGAGCTGTAGGAGTAAGGACAGGAAGGTGCTGTACACAGGAGTAGAACGCAGCACTCGAGCTGAATGTAGCCTGCTCCTTAGTCCTGTCAGTGGGGACGTGCATGCTTGTCCCTTTGGCGGGAGTGTTGGTAATGGGGTAGGCCTAGGGGGTGAGAGTGCAGATAAGAAGGATGAGGAAAATGAGCTGGATCAGGAAAAGAGAGTGGAGTACGCAGTGCTCGATGAGTTAGAAGATTTTACTGACAATTTGGAGCTAGATGAAGAAGGAACAGGCGGGTTCACGGCTAAAGCAATCGTTCAAAGAGACAGAGT